CCAGACAAGCCAACGAAAATAAAACCAGTGAATTTACTGCAGCTGGTTCGCCTCCATTTCCTCTTGCTATCGATCGATTTTTTATTCTCAACTCTTTCCGTCGATAGCTGCATAAGAAACAAGGCAATGAAGGTTGTTTCTCTTCTGTGTCAGCATTTTGCAGGCAATTTGGATGACTTTATCTCATTAACTGACTTTCCTTTTTTCCATGGATTACAAAATTATATTAAAGGTGATGCTATTTCATTTTGTCTGTTTGCTAAATCATCGTTCATTTTATGTGATGATAGACTATTTATTTTATTTTATAATGGATACTATATAAGAAGATGATTAAACATAGTTCAATAGAAAATAAGATTATTACCGGTTATTAACTTACATTTTGCTTACCTTTTGACCTAAGTAAGATGATTCGATCCCCTATGGCATAAACTAGTTGATCTGATGCTATAGGAAATAGTCATGATCATCGGGTTAAGCCATAATGCTGACTTATATGCTTCTGAACAATTTTTATTTGATTTAGTAGAATGAGATTGTAAGGTTCATCATTGAATTTACCTTCCAATTACTTTAATGAAATAATGTAACTTACTATATTTCTGTTTTGATAGAATGTTTTCTGGTTCATTTTTTTCTCGAACTATTGCATTGATTGATTGATCTCATCAAACTGACAACGATTTTCAATTTTGCTCTCTCATTTTCTAATCTGATGCGAGCTTTATAATTTATGCTAATTCTGTCACTTTGGTTGTAAAATTATAGCAGTAATTTAAGCTCAAACTGTAAAACTTGACGAATATTTAAGAAGATTTCAGTCACTAGATGATCTCAAGATTTATTTTCATTCAATTTTTATCTTTAATTATTCTTAGCCGCCAAAATGGCTCATTTTACTTGTTAAAATCTGCTATAATCGCTAATTCTAATATCAAACTGTATTAAAGTACGCGTTGATAAGAAATGACAACCCGCCGGATTCCATTAAATGTTGATACATACGTCGGTATTCTAACATATTTTTACTGCGGCTATGCCATTTTTTCTTCCTCAAATTAGATAACAATGATAATGGTTTTCTTATACTAAGATCAAGATTTTAATACACGCGGGTATTAATATTAATGGCGATATCTTGTCTGTTTACAGTTTACTCATGTCGTCTTGATAATTGAACTTAATCAATGTCGTTGGTATTAAATTTTCCTTTTTTTTCCTTTTGTTCAATATCATATGGAAGGATAATAATTTGCTGAGTTTAGGCTGTTGCTAGCCTTATCCTGTACTAAAATTACTGGCTTTGAAATATTTAACGTATGTTATCATAATGAGTTCACATAGTTTATACCTTGACTATGTATACTTTCAAATTTACGCTGATGATTGATTCTCTTGTATATCTGTCAGATTTTTAAATTATGTTTATTTAGTACGGTGTTGCAATTGAATAAATAATGACAGAAAATACCTCTTTAATCATTTCTAAGACTCAATAATGGCCTACAGAGCATATCATATTGCACTGCAAAGCACTCGCATGCATGCATACATAACTTAAATACGTCTTACTTCTGAATGAATGACGCCTATAATTTAGATGCAACTGCACCGGCAATAAAGTTGTCTTGACAAGTCAAATAATGAGAAAAGCTTCTATTATTGTTATGATAACGTTACTGTTAATTACTATTTACCATTAATGGAAATGTACTGTGAGATTGTGTTAGAAATTCACTAGATATTAGTATATTGGTAGTTCTTGCTGAATAGTTGCAGAAAATTTATGCTTGTCATGATTACGTTACCAATTACTACGGTACTAGCTGAATGGGTAAGTATTTTATTTAGTTATAACGGTTTGGATATTTACTAATACTAAGCTCAGTAAGAGGAATATTACAGCTGTAATAATTGATAGCCAAAAATATTAGCAAAAATAGTTGCAACTAGATAAAGATATTAATGGATTCTTATGTTAGCCTAGCTATTTAATTTCGTATATTATGTAGAGTGGAAGAATATTACTTTCGTATAAGAGTTTACTGAAAGCCCTACTATAAAGATTTCTCAAGCGAGATTAAAATTATCGTTATAGTGAAATGCAATAAAAATAGCTATCGATAAACAGCTTAAACAAGCATATATGGCATCTATTATTGTTATTGGCTATTCTGACGTCAATCATAACTCATTCTAATACTGAACTAATTTCTTTTCATACTCATATTTATTTATTAGCTATTTAAACAAAAAAATTATTATCTGCAAATCAGTATTATAAATTTTTATCTACGTAGCTTAAACTGTCCGTCTTTGCTGAAGTAAGTTAATAAACCAATAAATAATTTTCAGTACTATTTTTTTCGATCAATAAATGCAAAAAATTTTACAACGTTTGCTATCGTGGGCTTTTATAAATGTCATGGTAATTCCTACCTGATCGTTGAAACAAATAATTCAAACTCGAATAGTTGCCGTAACAATATCACTACATTATCGCAAAAAGTGTAAAATAAAAATGGGGATATGGAATCTTCATTATGTTTTTCCTCATTTTCTTTCAGGTATTGTGATCATTAATCATAATCATTACGGAAGGTAAATAAATAAATTTTTTATTTTTAATGTCTATTTCCTTATTCCGTTATAATTTTAATTGTGCTCTAATCTCTGTTTTCGTTAAACTGTATACTGATAGTACTTATTATACTATTGATAGACATATATAAATTTCTATCCTTTAGGTGGGTTCTTAATTATGATACCGTTATATCCTATTTGATTGCACACTATTATGGTATTTATCAAATATCATAACAGAATTAGGTACTTAAAATTCTTATATTTAATAATCACTTTACTGTTATTGTCTTTATTTGTCATCTTTTTGAGTTATTTTGTAGTCACAGCCTTATAAATTTGATCAGTTATTCTACTTGCCGTCTGACAGAAGCCAATGTGCAAGATTTCTTTTTTTAACATCTTAATATTGTTTTTATGCTGATGTGAAGAGAATATATCTTATCCTTCTACTCTATTTGATACTTTTACAGAATGGAGCATGTTTTTGTAATAATAAATTCAAGTTTTAAGGGTGAAATTTCATTTTATATCGGTAGTACCGAAAATGCACTTTAAGGTTAACCATGTTATTGCTAACTCAATTTTCGACTGTAAGTGTAAATAATCATTATGATGTGTCATTTGGAATTGACTGTCCTACAGGCTAGCCTTCTGCTTAGCTGTTAAATTAGGAATTTTAATTTTGAGGCAATATTTAACCTTGCTCTATTTAAGTCATTTCGTATTGATTGACACGAATGAGATCAAAAGTACCCATAGTGGATGGGTGATAGAAGAGCGTTTTAATTACCTGCAAACTTAATAATACCTATTGCTTGTTCTTATTTCGTGATCAATTTGATGTGACCATAGTGATTACGGTTTATTTTGTTATAGCAAGTAATAAATAATTAATGATGGGTGGTAAAGTTAGATATAACATCATTTGATCGGTATTATTAAGCAAATAGCCAAACAACTGTATCATATACAGTTTAATTTATTTTGCCAAACAAAAATAGCTGCCTTATTGGAAGCTGTGTAATAATAATAAGTAATAGTCGAATATCACTATAAATTAGAATTTGATATTACGTAATTATAATGAATTTTATTTTTATCATGATGAATATTATTGCATAGGATTTGACATCAATAACCTTATTTCTATCTAGCATGAATATTGTTGTAAAATTCGTATCAAAGTGGTAATTATTGATGCCACATGCCACGGAAAGAATACTATTTTGCCAGAATGTGTGGAATTCTGGTTTGATAAACTGCTCCGTTGAGCTGTGTATCAATATCCCTTGATGTTTACTGATACGATTCCATTTATTAAATTAGCGATGTACGATAACTATGCTGTTAAGATGAGGGATTAATGCATGTAACATGAGCTGGAAAGGATACCTTCGAAACAGCTAGTACCGATGTGTTGTAGGTAAATACAGAGGATACTATATAAGGGCCATTTACTCCAAAAGCGCTAATTTCGAAAATGACTACAAAAATAGCATCTCTCTGAATTGTACACTTTGCACAGACGCACTCTTGTGGACATTTTCCAAAGCGGCGTTTTTTGAGTAAATGGCTGTTATATAGTATCCTCTGAATGCCCCCTAATATTAATTATATACCGTACCAATCTAAAGCATGAACGACGAGAAGAATACCTAGACACTCCTGTGAAGGGGCAGACATTTGGGCTCATTTCGTCGACAAATTATGTTCAACACTTGATTATGAGAGTACTTTAGTATTTAGACAGTCGATTCTGAGTTGACTGATGTTTTATAAATTAAGTGATATTGCATTGTATTCCACGGCCTGTTACTAAGCTGTGCTTGAAAGCAGTAACTTTAGATCATCAATGTTATTTAAATTTATACCAGTGATTTCGAAAAGAGACACGCAAGATCTATACTGACTGTGAGTCATTATTTTTCGACATTTTGGGTCTCATCGGGAAAGAAAACTCCGTCCATCCGAAGAGCATCTGGTCCGGTCTGGTCCGGTCCGATCCGGTATATTTCTAGTGGTCCATGCCTAAACAGGTATGGTACAGTATCTGCGTACAGTACAGTACGGTACAGTACTGTACAATGTACTGTACACTATGTACAGTACTGTATGTTGTGATACTGTACTGTACTGAAGGTTTTTCTTATACGAGTCTCTATGAATAACTGTACTGTACGGTACTGTACCGTACAGTGCAATGTACGTACAGTACAGTACAGTACGTATTGTACTCTGCAGGATACTGTGTACAGTAGCGGACAGCCTACCTCCGAAGAATGATTTGATGATTTGCACGAACTTGTTCCAGGATCTGCATAATGTTTCATACGTTCTCTTTGGACCTGCTGCTTCTTATTGGTGTGCAATATTAGCTGGACTTGATTAGTATACCCCTGCCATTTATAGCGGAAGTAATCATGCCGGAAATCGCTTTTAGCCATATTGTATCTTGCAGCAGTGAGGATAAGGTAATTATTTCTTGGAGGCTATCGATCTGTTCATAATGAAGTGAAAATAGAGAAGATTAATCGATGTTGCTTTAGTAAATAATATCATTTCACTCATCAAAACACAATAATGAACAGTAAATAATAACATGGAAGGAATTGTGGATAATCTCAACAGCTTGGGTTCTATAACGAAGATACCTAGTTGATAGGAGAGATTGCATGCTGAATGATTTGAAGTCACTGTGCAAATTGCAATATTGCTGCTTGTAGTTATACTGATAGGTTATACCTAATCTCAACCTTTGCATTTTGTATTGCATATCTCTCATCGAAGGACTCTTTGTCATCCGTGTTTAGGTTTACTGCGCTAAAAATCTCTTGAATGCAGACACTTTTCGCAAATGGAAATCTGCTGATCCTGGTGATAAACAAGTTGCAGTTATTATACAGTTCAACAAAGCTGAAAAGATTGACTCTATTCATATTGGTAAGGTGTATGAAACCGATTGATATAGCAGATAGCTTGAATGCACAGTTGACGCTTATTCGATGCAGTATTCAATCAACGATGAATTGATAAAATGTAGGATACTGATATACTTGTAAAGGATAGTAGTATATATTGCTAATGTAAACAGAACGAGTAACTATGAATAACTTCATTTCTTGCTTATACTGTTCAGTGTTCATACCTATCTTCTGTCATGTGCAGTTGATACCGCCTGCAATGCTTGATACTGTAGCTATGTGTCTGTGCCTTATCTTAAAATTTTGATGAAAGTATATCTATAGATAAAAAATTCTGACACAATTCTAAACTTGTATTGAATGGACTGTTGATTTTGTGCTAAAGTATCGCCTTAGATTAAACTCGTATTTAACTCCAAATAAATGATTAGGGAACGAAGGTTCTGCTTTTATTGAGGTCTTAGTTGGTAAATCAGCTTGGACTCACAACGAAGATTTCAAGGTTTTACCCTGTATTAAGCATGATCAATAATGCTGTATTAAAATTCTGTTTCATTAGACTTTTGACATTTGTCAAAAGTAACTGGTAATACTATGCAATGCTAGAGTTTCTTATCATTGCTTTCCGTAATTTAATGGAATAGTTCAACGCTATAATGAATAATAATAATATCATTTAGGTTATATTAGTAACCTCGTCATTCATGAGTCCTCAAGAAAGCAAAAATGGCATTAATCTAAATCGTGTTCGAATGTTTGGTAAGATGCACGAGAAAGTTAAACTGAAGCTGACATTGTATTAATTCTATCGCAATTTCATACTGTATATTCATTTCTATCATTTATTATTATTAATAATACCAATGTTTTAAGCATAACCGTAGCTCAATTTAATTCCTTTAATCTTATAAATACCTTGTGCCAAAACTATCAGGTCTATTTTAGTGCCTTATCTAACATTTTCTAAAATTACTACTGTTATTACCATTATTTGATTATGTAATTTCATTAATTCTAATGATAGATTCAAATAAATTATCCAAATCCGTCCTTGATGAGTCTTGGGATAGAATAAAAGTAATTTGTACTCAGCCTTACAATAAGGTATTAAACTTTATCGATATTCGATGATATTACAAAGAAATATATAATCTTATTGATATCAGTACTTCTACAAAGGATCTTAGTCAAATGTAACGCAATATTGATGAAACGTACGTATCCGATTTCATCCTAAAAGCATTTCTTATCATTTGGTTAGAATGTTACCTATGGATTATCATTTATTAAATTAATATCACCTGGAGGAAATGATGCCACGGGAGGTGATAAAACTTCACCGTCAGTAAGTCGTTTAGGAGGATTTCATATGAAAAAAGAAAATGATCAAAAATTTGTTCCTGGTGCATTATTTCGTACTTTTTCCAAAGATGTATCTCAAGCAGAGAAACGTACACAAGATCTCCAACCTTCAACTTGGAAAAAGAAAGTTATTGAAGTCAAAATGGAAAACGAAAAAGTTGATAACTCACAACTGCCAGTAGACACTTCATTATCTCATCGCTCTAAAATTGCTTCTATATCTAAGGCTTCCGTCACAATACCAGCTAAACGAAAGTCAGATGACCTTGCTAAGGTAACTACAAAACAGAAAGTAGATATTAAAGGGAATAATGTCGCTAGTCCACAAGTGAAGAAACCGAGAGGTATAAAAATTAACTAATAATTTTATAGAAGAGAGTATATTGTATTTTCCTTGAAGTGCTTTAATTAAATGGTATATACGTGCCTATTATCTGATGCTTCCCTTATCCATGACAGTGGAAGCTATAACTGGCGCAAAAGCAGCAGTAACTCCCGTCCAAAAAGTAACTGATGACAATGCAGGAATTACTAAAAGTTAGTTATCCATGTTATTGTATTACTGATGATAACTTTATGTGAGTGTCTTATGTTAACAATATACGATTTTCTATAGAAATATCACTAAAAATTGCTGAAGAAATCTCAACCGATGACGATGCATCGGATGAGGAACCTTTACGTAAAGTTATAGCTGTCCTTAGTGGTTATCAGAATCCTTTACGAGGGCAATTAAGAACTAAATTAACAAATTTAGGTGGCCAGTATAGGCCTGATTGGGGAAAAGATTGTACACATTTAATTTGCGCTTTTAAGAGTACACCGAAATACAGACAAGTCAGAAAAACTAAAGGCAGAATTGTATCCAGCGATTGGCTAACAGATTGTTATAAGCATAAAAAGAGACTCCTAACTAAAAAGTGACGGAGATATATTAAATTGATATTTGTTTGTCCAAATATGATCTAACCATAACCATATTAACTTATTAACATATTTTGAAAGGTATTCCTTAAGATCCGATGACGAAACTAGTTCCGATGAAGATTATAATTGGAAAAAAAGGAAAGCATCTTCAATGAAACGAACACAATCCAAACAGGATAGCATGTCGACATCTGGTAAGAAAAATGCTGAAGCAGAATCCAAGACGAAGATTACTAGCCAGCAATCAGCGGATGCTGCTGAGATTTCTAGTATCCAAAATAATAAAGCATCGACCTCTTCTAAACCGGATGTTGCTAAATTGCCTGAACGTACCGGTTCTCAGATGACAGATGACACCCCTGCCACGCTACCTTTGGAAGTGCTAGATGATATACCCGCAACCTTGCCGTTGGCATTGCAACAAGATATCTCTGCAACATTGCCATTAGACAATTCAAACGATACCGACAGTACCTTACCTTTAGATGATGTAAATGACTCCGATGCGACATTGCCTCTTGATGCAGGTTTGTTAAGCTGCTAAACATAGTTGTTTTTATATCATTTACTACCAATAAAGGAAGGACTTGCATTGATAATAATCCCGATTGTGTAATATTATAATACAATAGCGCTGAAATGGCACGTGTAAATAACTTTAAAAGTCCTGATGGTTATCTTTAACCCTTTTACAAATTAACGGTATTGCTGTTTCTGTATAGATTCAGGTTCGGAAAGTTCATCGAAAGAGAACAAATCTGACAGGTTTGCAATTTATTTGATCTACAAGTATCTTGAAACTAGACCATTTTATGTAATAGCTACTTATTTTAATTACCGCCATGAAACAGAATCGAAGATAAAAACTATGATCCTTATGAATGCTCAACTGAAGATGAGGAAGAAGTTCAAGGTTATAATACTCGTAGATCTTAGTATTATTTCTACAGTTTCTTATTACATTGTATCTAAAATTTTTCTGACGTATTATAAATAGAAAATCCAAATAGTGACATATCACTACCGGACTATTTCTCTGGCATGCGATTTTTAATTTATGGTGATTTCTCTTACGATGAACGTCGTATTTTGATTCGTTACTTGACTGCTTATGATGGGTAAGTCTGTATATACCCTGGATTCATTAATTGAATTAAAATAAAGTCAAGCACTGAACAGGGTACTATTTTTATATTTCTAAACTACATATTGAACTATGTAGGCATGTTGAGGAATACATGGGAGAGAAAGTAAATATTGTAGTAACAGATAACGAATGGGATGAGAAGTTTGACCAAGTCAGTCTGAGCATTATGACTTGATATGTTTGCTAATATATTTGGAGGTATGATTACCTCATTATGGCGTATTAGACATTCTATTTTATTATTTTCTCTAAGGCTGTGGCTGATTTTCCGAATTTGACATTCCTTCGAAGTGAATGGATTTATGAATGCCACAATCAGCGAAAGCGATTACCGTTCCAGAAGTACCTAATTACTCCATAGCTTTCTATATTATCTTTGTCATTGTGAGATTACGGCAATTGTACGCTTGGCAATTTCATGGATGTGTATAGTCATGACAAGATTTATGGCTTCATCTAAATATCTAAAAGCTACTGTACATAAAAAAAATGAAAGCAATACTTTGATTTGTGATTGTATTTAACTTGCACGTTCTACATTCACATAGTGTACAATATACTTAGAGTGCAATTTTCAATTGCGCCTTTATGGCAGAAAATAAAGTTTACACGAAAATTTTAAATACTATGGGAGTTATGGTATTTATTTCTAAAGCTGAAGTTATGTAAAATGCAAGCCTGCAATATATATGTATACTGTAAAAGCTAGAAAAGATTATTTCTTAATAGTGTTCAATGACTTTAAGCTAATATATGAAAGGCCTTCGAATTTCTTAAATCACTCTGTTATATCAGTAAACGAGCACTGACAATCACGTGCTAAGTTACACTTTATCAGTAAAGGTACTGCCGGTAACCGTACACCTTAAATTCTGTAAGGTGGATGGGCCAAGTCGATAACTTATCAGCTTACTTTGTGGCTCTACTTCTGGCGTACACATAATAGCTAACAGTTGTTTAAAATATATTAACGTGATTATGTGTCTTAGTGTTATAGAAATGTCACCTTCGTGCACTCAACCTTATTGCTAAAGTCTTGCTGAAGATGCTACCGCCTAGACTACTACTTTTACTTAATGCATATAATACCTTGTTAGCTCTATATTATTATTACTTTGGTAGTCATGAGCAATGAATTCTTTAGGAGGCATGGTTTTCACTAGCTGTCGTTTAATCGAGTTAACTTGGCAAATTCTTGGATACGCATCTTTATTCAGCCAGCAAAATAATATCAATATTAGCAATCTTCAGAAGGTGTAAATTTCCAATTTTAACTCGAACTATTTTACAATACAGTAAATACTCAGTTCCCGGTTTGAAACATACGAAGTGACTAAAATTTTCCTTTAAATTATTAGTAAATACAAGAAGTTATCTAGCAAGTACGCGTATAATAAATTGCACGATATGCCATCGTAATACATTTGCATAAAATAAAATAGATTTTGGTAAATTCAGAGCAAGTTACGGGTATAAATCAATTTAATAAAAATAGTTATCCTCGATGGTAAAATACTTGCAAATAGGATTTTCATAACTTTTTTGTAAACAGCTCTATTAAATATTCAGCACCCCAGCCAGGTGTTAGTTCACCTTCTTGTACTCTTTTCTCAATGGAAGATAACCGTTGACTAATGAGCGGATGTGTCTTAAACCTGCAATATCACGACAGCAATCAAAAATCAGTAATAAGAATTTTGGCCGGTAAACCTAATCGTTTAGATATTTGCTTGTTAATAATTTACCCACCTATCTAACACCTGATCTTGAATATGATTCCACATCCACACCTTCCTCTGTTCTCTTCGCTTTTTATTAAACTCGCCAATATCCTATCGTATTCAATTATTACATAGAGTTTAGAAAATTTTCCAGATCGTTAACAGCTATGTATAAATAATAATAACTCTAACTATAACCTACAATCATTCGTTCATGGAACTGCTTCATTTTAGACCACGCACGGTCCATGCCGTAGCCAGTTACTGATGAAATACGAAAAACTGATGGGAGCCAAATATCAAAGGGGAGGCGTCTGCGGACAAATTTCATTGCGCTTGTATATTCCATTTGTATACGACGTGCTGCTGGCATAAGGTCACCATCAGCTTTAGTAACTAATGTCAAGTCTGCCATTTCTACGATACCTCTCTTAATACCCTGTAATTTAAATTATTTCGTAAACAAATATTATTTAAATAAGTGTCATGTAACGTAAAAATAATATTCCTATCGATAGCAGCAATAAAAAAACAATAAATTCGCATTTATAGAGCTAAAATCAAATATCTAGGTAAAAAACGAATAAAATGACATAGTAAATAACCTGTAGTTCATCGCCTCCGGCAGGCGGTATCAAAAGTACAAACATATCAACCATATCTGCTACAGCATATTCGGATTGACCTACACCGACTGTTTCCACTAATATGATGTCGTAATCGGTGGCTGTATTTTTACGGATAAGTAGAATATATACGCCGTATTAAATACAAAATTATCGTAAGGTAGAACTGAGAAATATCTATTTGACTGACAAACAGAGTACCTTCACATAATACAATCGCTTCATTGGTTGTTCTGGTAACTCCACCTATGACAAAATTTTATGGAAAATATTAAAATTGTGAAACGGCATACTCCATGTACACTGATTTTTTGTTAAATTTAATTGTAATTTACCGAGATTTCCAGAAGATGGAGAAGGGCGAATGTAAGCATTGGGATCTCTAGATAAATCAGCCATTCTTGTTTTATCTCCAAGTAGTGATCCACCCGTAAAATTAGAAGAAGGATCTACGGCCTAACATATACAGTACATGCAGAATAGAAAATAGAACATTTCAATATTATTATATATCGTGATGCAACTTAAACTCTGCAGCTAAACTATTGCAACGTTACATTCGAATTTACTGTACAAGCCAAGATTTTGTAGGTATACATACCAAAACAGCCACACGATGACCCATTGCAGTTAATTGCTTGCCGAATTTTTCGATAAAATAAGATTTTCCAGCACCAGGAGGTCCAGATAATCCAATACGGAAAGTAGGAGTAGAATTGAGTTCCTTTTCTTTTAATAGCCTTAAAGCTGAATTAAGGAGTTCTCTAGCTAATTCCTTTTTTTTAGGATGTTTTGATTCCACTACATTTAGGTATATAAAAAAATATATAGCTGCAGGTTATAATTGGAATAGATAAGCAGGAAAGTATTTCGCAGACGTAGATTTTTGGTATGAACTGCTCTATTTCATCATATCTTGATATACTATCATCAAAATCGTATTTCAGTAATTCTTGTAAAGTGAAAATTGTTATATTAGTACGTTACAGAGCTGTATTGTACTGTGCTTGCGCTCCATTCAGTGATATACTGCAAAGGAATTATTTTTAATATAATGCAGGTATAGTTTGTTTTAACAGTGATTGCGGGAACAATTTGTGCGAAAATTGAACTCAATCTACACTCCTATCGAGCAAGTATCTATTTACCAGTGTGTAAATAAGTATATTGTTAATTATAGATATATAGATATATGACAGCATCTTTTTGGATAAGCTGATAGGATGTACTGTATTTTAGACAAGATATCAATATCTAAGTGCATATACATGCAAACATATACGCGTACAGTATATAAATACTCATCAGCGTAGCCTTAAAAATAGCTCCTTGCTTCTATTTCTACAAATACGATTCAATTCTATAAAAATTTGGGCAACGAGTACCCTATATGAACAACTATTCGATCTAGTATTATTGAAGTTCTTTTCTGGAAGTTTAAAGTTCATGCAGCAAATATCTCATTGTCACCAGCATTTCTTTAGTGTAACAATGCAATATCGTATGCATCCTGCAGATTCATTTATTGCAAATTTTTGTTAGCGCTTGACTTATTCAATCTCGATACTGTACCTATTCGCTTTCTAAATGATGGTGTAATTCCTACTTGTTCAAACTCAATATTAATATTAGATTACAGTCAGAGGCTTCTAACAGGAACTTCCTGTTCGAAGTGACCGTTACAGTAAAGCCAATGTTGATTAGAATAGAATGAGCGATGGCAAAACGCATAGGAACTGACCTAATGTGATGCTTTCTGCTAGACTTGCTCTTTTACCGCTAGTAATGCCCTGTATTAGACGATCTATGATCGGATGAACAGGTTGTTCTTGGCTTACAGCTTGGCTTGATTGTCTCAAGGAAATAATTGTATGATTAGCAACCATCCACCCATTATCCACATACCTCAGGTATGGAATTTTTGACCTAACGTGGTGCATCATAGTGATGCCTGTAAATAGAAAATAATGTCAATCTGTCCATTTCAAGCAAAAATCAGTCTACCCGAGTAATGTATTGTATCCAACATCGAATGAAAGAAGAAACATTGAATTCACGTTCTCGAATCTTATCATGGTCATCGTATCACAGTATGAGCTGATTAAATAAATGCAAGATTTTTTTATTCGAAAATTGATCTAGCAATATCAGTCCTAGATATTACTATCAACAATGCCATACACTCAGTATACAGCTGATTGAAGTACTGTACTTGTAGGCAGAGTTCATTGACCAAGAGACAAACTACAAAAGTTTCAAAGATCACCAACGACAGCCATTCATGCAATAGCAATTGAAGGTGGATATTATTCAAGTGCTTACCTAATTTGATCTCTTATTTTCGACCTGCTTATTTAATTGCAAAGTCAGACTTTGATCTGAAGATTGACTGGATGAGATTCATCGAGTGCAAAAGTTCTCCGCTACGGTATAGTGAAGGACTGGACAATCCTAGAACAGACTACAGTGTACAGTCTACAGTACAGCACTTGGCAGTGTACACTGTACACTGTACAGTCGGTAGAGTCTGTACTTCTAGAAGTCCATGCACTATGTCGAGAACTATACTGTAGCCACAAGCCAGTACTGAAATGACTGACCGTCTATTGGTAGTCGATGCCCCATGAGCATATTCCAGCTAGAAAAGAAAGCAATTTTTTAGTGGGGTAGCACTATTTGAATCGGTTAATCATATTAAAAGCTGGCTGGCAGGCAAGTCGGATCAGACTACGACTTTATTGATATTGTGTAAGTACTGTATGGCCTTCATGACACATATTCATTTTATTGTTGTTTCCATATGCTCTATAAAGGCTGTCGATTTATACGATCCATAAGAAAATTCTCCAGTCAGTGAGAAGACAAGGTGTTAGCTTGACCTACTGTACTATGGCACAACTTGCTGTCTTTTATACTAATCGAGAAGAAGGAGAAGAACCTTCACGAATAGTAGCTAGCATTGTAATTAGTAGCTTACTACTTCACAATTAGCTCAAGATAATAATCCACAAGTTTTGACAAATGTAGCAAAACTCAATTCAGTCACTGTATCTCGTTGTCATGGTAGTCGTGCACTTGTTCAATGTGCAATATCTGATTTAATTATTATTATACTATACTCATATATCCAGCTTATAATATTTCTCATGACAGTATAAGGCTGTCGATTTATACGATCCATAAGAAAATACTTCAGTCAGTGAGAAGACAAGGTGTTAGCTTTGACCTACTGTACTATAGCACAACTTGATGTCTTTTATACTGATCGAGAAGAAGAAGAAGAACCTTCGCTAACAGTAGCTAGCATTGTAATTAGTAGCTTACAACCACGCAATTAGCTCAAGATAATAATCCACAAGTTTTGACAAATGTAGCAAAGCTCAATTCAGTCACTGTATCTCGTTATCATAGCAGTCGTGCACTTGTTCAATGTGCAATATCTGATTTAATTATTATACTATACTCGTACAGTATATCCAGCTTATAATATTTCTCATGACAGTATTGACTGCAGTAGTAACAATGCACAGCATTATTAAACGCCTTAAACAGAACCGAAATGAATCACTGATGAGTCTAGACTCCCTTGCTATAATTAATTATACGTAGAGTCGAGAAAAAATGTGATAATCATATCATACTGTATTGCACTAGCTAATTATTATTATAGTACGTACAATCGCATGCAAGTGCAATTGAAGAGAAACAGCATCAGTTTGATTCTACTTACTAAAGGCTTGACTACGATTCTTATATAAGGTAGGTCTTCTCATTGCCAGAGTAAAGCCATATCTACATCATGCCTTTAGTCAACTTGAAAGATATTCAAATCAGCAGAATCCTAGCTGAAAATCCTGCTAGCAAATCCATCAATATCCTTGCTAAATTCAAAGATCGTGATGGTGATGTAATATTATTAATCAGTAAACCACCCTTTACAAAAGATCTCATGCAAAATATTATATCTGAAGATACCTTGGCTCAAGTCCAGCTTGAAAACGATATTTATAGTCAGTATAGCTTGACCCCTAAAGCTGAATTAAATCTTTTAAAATCGACTGTCATTTACCCGGCTACCGAAAAGCACATCAACAAGTACAGTGATCATCAGTTTTATCTCCTACAAGAAACACCTAATGATTATCGTAATATCACTTTGCCGTTTATCGAAAAGAACGCGTTTAGCGCTCAGGTAATTTTACCTTTTCGTCTAAATTTTGACTTTTGTATTACGTTGCAGTTTCTGTACTTCATTTCCATGCAGTAACGGATGAATGTCATGTGTATAAATTTGTTTTCTTCCAATTTTACATTTCATCGATCGTATCAGTGGGTGGAAAGAATACTCAAACACGAGAGTGAAAGCGAAAACATAATATTTGAAGATCCAGATCGTGACACAGGATTTATCTTATTGCCTGATCTTAAATGGGATAAAAAGCAACTAAGCGATTTATACTTGGTTGCAATTTGTCATCGTCACGGCTTACGCTCATTAAGAGATCTAACTAGCTCCGATCTACCATTATTACGTAATATTCGAAACCAAGGAATTGTAAGTTTGCATAGTATGGAGGATGTATCACTATTAAATTCCATTGCTTATAGTAGACCTTTACAAAAATTGTATGGTGCAGTATCAATTACGATACTAATATTGAATTAGTAACTTCATAGCCAGCGGTTGCATTCCTTAGAATGCTAAAGTTTAAATGATAACAAATATGTTGTTAAACTTTATTTAGGCCGCGATTAAAGAAAAGTATGGTGTGAATCAATCACAATTGCGAATTTACATCCACTATCAGCCATCATATTATCATTTCCATGTTCATTTTACACATGTCAAGTACGAAGCCCCTGGATCGGTCGTTGGAAGAGCCCATCTCTTGGAAGATGTAATTGAAAATTTGGAATTATTTCCAAATTTCTATTCTCAAAAGACGCTGTCGTTTGTTATTCAAGAATGTGATGCTTTACTGGCAGAATATAGAAAGTGTGGGCGACTTACTTAGAACTATCGATCTTGTTTTAATTAAATGGATCGATTTAATCCTAAATTATAGATTGTAAGTTAAACATAAATAAATAATACTGCATGTAATGTTTATTGATACTACGACAGTTTCATGAGTCAGAATAAGTTTAATTTCAACCGGTGATCCCATCACAAAATGTACGATTCTTAACCTGAAGATATGCGTAATTAATATATATATATAATATTCATTACTTTGGCCCATGTTAGATACCAAAGCATGATCAAGGCATTCAGTTGACATACAGTCTATCTTTCTATGAACTTAGTTATCTTAACGACATTTACCGGCAACGTATGGAAATGATATTTCAATTGCACGTAACTGCTGCAAAATATTATTTACTGCTGAATTCTCTAATCCCAATAAATTTGAAGCTGTTTAACCGTAATTTATGTTTCATGAAATAAAAATATTCCTTCTAAATTATTCTTATTTGTACACGTATCTCCATTTCATTCAAATACATAAGTGGATAATCTTGGAAAAAACTATTAGGAAATATTGTAAAAATTATATCATAAGTAATATGGCTTCATAACTCCAGATGTTGGATGATTAAGTTGGTAGATATTTCAAGTTAGTATTACCTGATATTATTCAATCAAGTTATCCATTAGATAACCCTAAATACAATAACTCAAAGTTCTAAACTTTCCGATTCTTAATTTAAAACAATCTTGTGGGATCAAAGTACAATTTCTAACAATTTTAGTATTAAAGTCTTCAAAAGAGTTATGAAGATAATTTGTCCAAGCTATCTTTAGATTAATTATTTCCAACTTTCGGATGACCTTTTCTTTATTCCTTATTAGACTCGTTGTAGGCTTTAATTAAATAGATATAACTCATTGTATACCGTATTCATCGGCTATTTCAATTGACTACATTAGCCTCTACACTGTTTGAATATTGTTAATATTGTTAATATTTTATTTGGCAAGGAAATATTACTGCAGTGATTGGCTCTATAAATAGTAATGGATCTCTCAGTCTAATTGTGACATAAACAAAATTTATGCTCCATTTTACATTGTACTCATTAATAAAATATAGTAAATCATTACGATAACTTATTTCTGCCGGTCATGTCTATTTTTGTGGGATTTCCCGTCTGACCTTGGGAGAGCCAGCTAGTGAATGCTAATATTACATATATAATAATCAATAAATTTGTAGCGATTTCAGCAAATTATAGTAGTTATGTATTTTAAAAGCATGATAGTGATATGAAATTAAGGCACTATTGTATATAATAGTAATTATAATTAATAGATTGATAGTAATTTCAGCTAATTACAGTAGCTATATATTTTAAAAGTTTGATAATAATGAGATTAGGGCGCTATTGTATATATAATGGCCAATAAATTTGTAGTGATTTCAGCTAATTATAGTTATATATTTTAAAAGTATGATAACTATATGAAGTTAAGGCGCTATGTAATGTAAAATAGTTGGCGGTGCTTGATAAAGTAACTATAGATTATGAGTCTAGACTGGCATAGTGAAAAGAGGTACTTGTACTGTACTGTTAGGCAATGACCTGTAGTATTGCATACATTAATCTATACCGAGCATATACCCTCTCATTAAGAGCGGAAAAGAATCTTGAAAGTCAATTCTTTACACTGTATAGCAGTAGTAGAAATTACTGTACATTTGTTTATAGGACAGCACTTCTTATCCGTAATCTCTCTACCATGAGGCTAACCTATCTTCTTGTCGTCTCCTGCTGTAACTCTAGCTTTAAATAAACGCTATCTACTCTTAACCATTTTGCCTTCATCTCCATCAAGAATTGTTATCACTACACTGATACACTTGTGGCCTAATTGTAGGTATAATCACACTATTCCTTATACGTATCGCTGGTAGTAATAAAATTGCCTTGTAGTACTCGCAGCGCCAAATTATGTGGTGGGTTTTACAACCCCTTAGGTCGTCTAACTCAAAATCTGAGTTATTAAAATTCAGCAAATCTCTAATCCTGGAACAAGATCAGGTAAACACTGCATTTAACCTTAAAAGTATCTGTTTATTAATATTGTAGAACGTTTAACAAGAGAAAAATCCACTTTTCTACCCTCATAACAGCCGAAAGTAGCTAAGATAAACCGGATAATCGACTTCGTTTCCACGATAATAATTCCGTATTATCTAACAGCTATATTAAGACATTACACAAAAATATCACGTTATATAGCTGTCTACTGCAAACTTATACGCACGCAGTATGAATACTATAAGTATACCGTTTCATCGTCGACAATTATGAAATTGCCTTATAAACATAGTAGACTATTCTACTTCTTAATGCTACCGTACTTCAATTACCACTGTAATTAGCTGAAACTACTACATGTCTTTTATAGTGTTACAGGATTATCTGCACTTTACTTTATTTGGTTTGCAGATACATCAGTAAGATTGCTTGTATTTCATGCTTTTGTATGACATTAACCGAGCCAAGTCGGATTATGCTTTCATTATGGAGTTTTGAACTTTTTCCAACTGAAATTAAAGCAACTGCTTTCGGAATTATAGTCACCTTGGATAGATTAGGTTCTTTGGATGATACATTAGTATTGACTGCATTTCTTCATAGAGATTGCGTTATACCAATGCTATCTGTGGCTGCTTGCATGTATTTTAAGTTCGTGTATCGCAAGATTCCTTCATGATACATTCACCATAAATATAAATTAATTAACGTCGTAAATTCTATGGTTATATTTAATATTGGTAATTTCAGCTGAATAACTTTTTTAATCATATAATCAATTGCGAGATATTTGTTGGAATATCTATTAAATTCTATAACTATAGGGCTAAGCAATTAAATCGGTTTACCTCGAACTCGTAATATCTAGTAGCAACGGGTAGTACGTATCGATTGTAGCGTGTCTATACAAATAATACCGTTGCCAAAATTTGTTTTTGAAACAGTAAATTTCTATACATCTCCTTCCTTTTAAAATTAGTCTAGCCTAACATTGCACGCAAATTATATGAATATAATCAAATAGAATTAAAGATTCACAGCAACTATTATTGGCAAGACTAAGTTTACGGGTATTTTCTTACTTCAGGGCTCGATTTATTTGCATTCGGAGCCAAACTGCTAATTAAATACTATCAACAAATGACTATGTTTGAATCTTGGTTACACAGCTAAAGTATGTAAGCTTATGTGTAATTTCCGTAGCTGATATACTGTTGGTGTGAAATTTTGCAATAATCCTCTCCCCCCCCCCCCCATAAAAAGAAATAGATCATGTTATAAGTTAGATTATATAGTTGTGAAGTTTAGCAAGAAACCGAAGTCTTGCTATATTACTTTTTAGTACTTTATGGCAAGTGTGTATAGTCTATACCATAGTAACTTTAATGTTTCTAACTTCGATTACGTACGAGAATTTAGACATGCTAGATCGAAATTTAGGTACATTCATAATAGTTTTTTTCATGCTCCGCTAATATAAAGTACTGCATCTTCGTGCTTGACTTCATATACAAGATATTCGTTTTGCAATAAGGGCATTTTATTATTATTATTATCTTCTATACCATCAGCATGCGCTACGTATCAATCACTCATGTATTTAATACTTCTCTGCATTTCCCAAAACAAGTCAATATACAAATAGGCCTACAAACAGTAGACAATATTCAGCAACGGAATCAAGACTGTGAAAAAGTATTCATTGCTACAAATCTAAATTCGATAAAAAAAAGTTCCGAGCGATACCAAATAACGATATACGTAACAATAATGAACAATAACTGCTATCGTAATCAAAATTAGATCGTGACATAATCACAATATAATCAAGGTAATGATGAAATTAATATCCGTAGCGATAATAAAGCCAGTCTTTGAAAGTTATCATGGCCTAAATATCTTACTTTAATATCAAGATGTCGTACAATTTTACTTCTGCTTTGCTCTTCATAATTTATGGATATGCTTGCCATAATTATATATATTTATTATGGACAATGCTTAAATCAATTTCGACTAAATTCTTCGCATTATTGTTCTGGTGTACCTTTCTAGGATTAGTACACTTTCAATTTGGAATATCAATACGTTAATTGAAGCCTTATTTTTATATATTTTCACCGCATTAGTATGTCAGGGTGAATGTGAGTGTTTCTCAAAGTTCAAATGGCTTCATCGGCAGGGCCTTCCTAGTTGATGTTGAATGTACGCTTGTACAGGCATATAACTGCTATGCACAATGCTATAGGGCAGACTGATAAATGCCCACAGCTACATGTTATTGAGTCATTCGTTAATGAAATATATATTACATATTGATTCAGTTTATTTAGATCTATTAGAATTCATTTTAACGAGACGGTTATCATCATTAATTTATTGCAAGAATTTATTCTGAACTCATACAATGAAACCAGAAATCAGATTTACATTTGATTGAAGGACAATCCATAACTCTAATACACTTTATAACGTTACTTTGCTACGTACGATACTAGTTAGCTGATAGGCACGAAGGCATAAAATACGGGTAGATTTTAGGTTTTATTACATTCTACTATCCTTAACTGGTTACTTAAGTGATTGATCGACACGCGCATATATTGAGAACTGACTCAAGTTATTATTGTAATGAACACTATCGACCGATAGACAAACATCACTACAAGCAGATAGCAAACAGCATTGTGCATGCTAATCAATAAAGGTATATTGAAAGTTTTGATTTTTACTACTAGAAATTAATCGGACCATTAATTAATACGGTTCACAACATGAACTATCATCTACAACAAAGTTAAAGAAATTTTCAGATAAACATCAACAACATCGAGAATAACTAATCAAATCCAGAAAAAGTTGTACATTTACATCTTCAGGTGTAATATTTTAGTTCTTGCATCCTTTAGGACACTTGCAATCAGTACATATGCAAGTTGTGCAGACGCAGCTACTGATATTTTCTAGAAAGATGAAGTAAAGTTGCTTACAGTTAATTCCTTATCCTGCAACTTCGATTGCAGTTAAACGTCGAAGTTATGAATCATTCATAGGTAGAGTTATCACTGTCAGTTTGCTATAAATACTACGATTAATAATATATCTACCGTACAGTACTCACAGTGCAATATGGGAATAACTTTACTGCATCATAAGCATAAAGTATAACCTATTATCAGTACAACTACAGTACTGTACATTAAACGTCATTCAATAAATCTTATAATTTGTTTATTATTTTAATTGAATAAGACAGCATTTGAATTAATGTAGTATAACAACAAATTTTTAAATATACGCGTACGTGCGCCATCTATTATGTAATACTAACCAGCGCATTTGCATGTTTTCCCACCACAGAGTCTGCAGTTAGGTGCGCATTTACAATTGGTGCAGGCACAGTTAGAAGGACATTGGCAGTCACCAGCTGAGGAATGAAGAAAGAAAGTATTCTAAGTAAAAACGTTGATTCGAAACTAGTGTATTACGAGTACAGTACAGTATAGTAGCGGTATTTTTGGACTGACTGGAATATTTTCTGTCCATTCATCAACTAGCCTTGTTTTAAATTTTTCAATTCAATTCAATTTTATTATTTATAGTTCATTTTTTCTTTTATTTATACGATATAGTAGGAGTGCTTTTTAGACAGACTGGAATATTTTCTGTCCATCCATCAACTAGCCTTGTTTTTAAATTTTTTCAATTCAATTCAATTTTATTATTTAAAGTTCATTTTTTTCTATTTATACGGTATAGTAGGAGTGTTTTCGAACAGACTGGAATATTTTCTGTCCATCCGTCAAGTAGCTTTGTTTTTAAATTAATTTTTTTAATTAAATTGAAGCCCATTAAATTATTATTTATATAGTTCATTTTTTTTTTATATATACAGTACAGTATAGTAGTAGCAGTGTTTTGAGACAGACTGGACTATTTTCTGTCCATCCGTCAACCAGCGTTGTTTTTAAATTTTAAATTTTTTCAATTCAATTCAATTAATTATTATTTCTAGTTCATTTTTTTATTTATACAGTACAGTAGTTTTGGACTGACTGGAATAATTTTTTCCATCCTTCAACTAGCCTTGTTTTAAATAAATATTTTAAATTCAATTAAATGAAATTTTATTATTTATTTATAGTTAATTTTTTTATTTATTTATTAAACCTAACGACTCGCGTAACGTTTGATACCGCGCTATACAGGTACAGTGTACAGTACAGTACAGTGAGTAAACACTGTAGTGCGTAGTGTACAGTAGTGTACAGTACAGTACAATACTGTATGGGGGACTTGTCTACTGTACTGTAGATTGTAGAAGTCCCTGGTTACGGTTATAGTTATACCATGGTTATAGTCGTTATAACGTACAGTATTGAACTGTATTACGGCGCACAAAAAAATAGTCAAGTAAACCAACTTCAAAATGTACTAGAGGATATGGCGTTAAAATGGAAAGAATTTTCGCCGAAATATTCAAACTAGACATTTTCAAAATTGGCCCAAGTTGTATTTCCCTTTTTCATATTAACAGTGATTTATGATAAAGACGAGAGAAAAAAATGGATAAACACATTTCCTTCTTGAGATAATATACTACCATTTTTATTTTTTTTAACGCTTGAAAAAGTTGGATATACTCTATACTATATAATATTTTATACATTATCGCTAGAATGAGATACATGCTACTGTACTTACTTTCAGCACAATTACAAGGAGGATCCATTGAAGTTAGAAATTGTAACGCAAAGGAATGGAAATTGATCGGTAGAAATTTTAACGGAACGCCGACGACGTGAACAGCAACAGTGAAGGATCGGAAAAAAAAAAGTATACTGAACAAGCGTTGGTAGCACTTTTATACTTTTTCAGCAAACGTTGATCCTTTTCGATCGTAGTGTAGTGCCTTGCGGTCGTTCATTAATCCTTTGCGATCGCAAAATGGCACCATTATTGTATCACGTACGTCTAAAAAGAGAAGCCGTCAATATCAAAATAAACATTGCAGTCAGTGCTTTCATTTTAAGGGGATGGTATACAGTACACTAGTACAGTACAGTACATACAATGCACTGATGTAATGCAATGAATGAACGAACCATCATGCAATGCAAGCTAAGCAGCACCGCACAGTACAGTATGATTCAACATGACTGTGACAGTAGTACTGTATCACCAGCAAGCGTAAAATGGACGGATCTGTATTGATTTAACCTACATCTTTATCAGCATCATTGTCCAGCAAAATATGCGCCCAATACCTTCTATAATAAAGTGTAAAGTGTTCTCTTAGCTCTAGTGAACTTAAGACATGGTATTCAATCAACTTTGATCGCTTCAACAAATGCCTGTGTAGACATGGAAGAATATCGGTGGGCCGTGGCAGTCATTTGAAGCTGTGAGTGTGCTGTCCTTGACGATCAAGCCTTTTTTAATCCTTAAATTTGGACCCGTGGTGTACTGCTTTTGCGCAGGATGCACGTACAGCAAGTATTGATCCTTTTCGATCGTCGTGTGGTGATTGCCATTGCGGTCGCATCCATTTTAGAATAGACTCGATGCAGTGGCAAAAGCCAAGCCGAAGGCAAAACAACGACCTGCTTTCATTCCATTTTACCCCCTATGCGTGTAGTAGGTCAAGAATCTAGCAATCTTTTTTACTTCAGCCAATCAAAAAATTGCCTTCGTTGCGTCAACGTTCTGGTACAAGCGTTTTCTTGGCGCATGATCCATCATGCCTCCATTACGCTCCACTTCTCACGTGGTACGTAGAACAATGCGTCATTTGAACACCGTGTCACTAGCAGTCTTTGTATGGGAATGGATTGAGTCCGAATACGGACAACTGGACTGCTCGACAAAAACACCCAAACAGTGTGAGTATGATTTACTGTAGTACTGTAATCATAAGAGACCCTGAATTAGAGGTCTCTAGTAATCATGTTGCACATCTTGTTTATTTATCCAGTAGTAAATCCGCTACTCCTTTATTAATCAGGTAGGTACTTGACTACTCAAGACACTATTTACAGATTTATCTAGTACCAAGTAGAGCCAACTTTTGCTCCATTCTGTTACAAAGAGCAAATTGCAGTAGTTCGATATACCGCTTACCAGTCGACTGCATGACTAGACTGCCGATTCTATTCGTGTGAGTTCTGTATGCGATCGTACTTTGCTGTTATTCGTTGGGAGATTCTGCCAATCATACCAGTCATCAACAACAATTTATTTATTTCCTCGCAAAGTGCATCGAAATCCAGTATGTTTTGACGATAATATAATTGATTGATATATCCTGACTTACAAATATTAAGCATGGCACGATTACATTACTATGTTTTGTAAACTACAACATGTACTACTGTAGTCAATGACTAGACATACTGTACTGACTGTATACTGTAGTGTATACAGCAATGCTTCGACGAGATTATCCTTAGACAGGTATATTGATTGTTGAACAGAGATATACTTAATATTAATGCTATCAAATGGTTCTTCTTCAGGGTAATCATGTGTAATTGTTAGATAATCTGCTTGCAAATGAATGGGTATAGTATAGCTACGATAGTCGTGATTATTATTGCTGCCGGATATTACTATTTCCTATCACAAACGGTCGATCTTTCCAAGTACATCAAGAATGATCAATGCTGGACCAACAGTCCATCTCATACCATTGAAGATGATACAACAATTAAGCCGTTTAAAGTCAACATTAGTCAAGGTGCCATAAGAGATTTAAATACAAGGTTGAAAAGGATTCGAAATTATGCAACATTGCAAGACACTCATTGGGATTATGGAACCAATGCAGATTATATTTTATCACTAGCAAATTATTGGCAAAATCATTACAACTGGAGAAATCATGAACTAACTATAAACAACTTTAATCATTACAAAACAAGAATACAAGGAATTAATGTCCATTTTATTCATCAAACTGGCAGTGATGATTTGGCCAAAAAGTCAACCAAGGTCATCTTAATGATACACGGCTGGCCGGGCTCATTTTATGAGTTTTACAAAGTCATCCCGATATTAGTAAAGGCCAATCACACTGTGATTGTTCCGTCAATACCTGGCTTTGGATTTTCAAGTCCTCCAGAAAAATCTGGATTAGGCACTATTGAAACAGCTAGTATATTCATACAGTTAATGCAACGATTAGGATACAATCACTACTATGTTCAAGGTGGTGATTGGGGATCTGCAATTGCCAATGCGATGGCTATATTAGATTCTAAGTCGGTATCATAGTTTCTTATTCATAGTACAAGTATAAACATGGTTGCATTGGAACTAACATTGCCTTTACTGTTTTAAATAGGCATTGCAAAGGGTTGCACGTCAACTTTGTATTTATGACAGCTCCTAATCCTATCCTAACATATAGTATAGGCAGCTTTTTTCCGTCGTTATTTGTCCCAGGTATGAATGTAATATCTTGTTTTACTATTATGCTTATCAATTGTTGAATACAAATTAGGCAGATTACATTTTTAAGCTTGATAAACATGATAGCTTATAAATTTCATATGACAAACGCTGCACTACATAAGGACACTGCTTATTGTTGATTGCAGTATTGATATTTCAGTGATAGCTATAGTACCATCCTACATACGAGCTTCCAGTTAACAATTACGTGACGTTTTCCATTAGATCCTGAAGAGCGCAAGCGAGTCTTTCCTTTCCTTCAAAGGATTATTGAGTATTCCATTGAAATGTCGCACTTTTTCTTACACAGCACCAGACCTGATACATTAGGACTTGCACTTCATGATTCACCATTAGGGTTAGCTGCTTATATTATTGAGAAATTTATCCGTTGGTCTGGATGCTCCAATACAAGCAAAATTGATTGCATTGAAGAGAAATTCACAAAAGATGAGCTCATAACAAATGTTATGATCTATTGGGTAACACAAACAATAGTACCATCCCTCCGTTACTATAAAGAATCCATATTCAACAGCAAGACTTTCGAGTTAGAAAGGTGAACCTAGTATTGGTATTTACATCGCAATTCTTTGACCTTCTACCATTCGTTATGTTAAAAATATTAATGCTCCTGTTTTAGAATGTCTTTTATAATACTACTATTATTACGAGAATTGATAAGTAATTTATTTTTTATGTAGAGTACCAATATCCATTCCGGCAGGTATAGCAGATTTTCCAAATGAAGTTTCCAGACCGCCGCGATCTTGGTTATCTCATAGATACAAGAAAATAGTCACTTACAACACAATGCTTAGAGGCGGACATTTTGCTGCTTTAGAAGAGCCTGATATATTAGCTAGGGATGTCATTGATTTTATTTTGAAGTCTGATAAGCAATATTCGCATGACAATATTTAATTACCTTGGTTTATTTACAATTCAAAATGACTTTCGATGTCAAATCAATTATGATTATCTGAATGATCTTTTCTATGTTATGTGGTAGCGCAACTGTTGCTAACTTAAAAGTGGTTACATAGGCGATTTGAGTTCGGACTCTCATTGTATCAGTTCTTATAAATTCAGTCTTGGAACCTGTTGCATTAAATGCAAGCAAGTCTTGCATAGGAGTTTAATAAATCCTGGAAATTTGAAGGCTATATACTGCATATATACTCGTTGTATCAGCTATCAATATTGTGAGATACGATAGCGTTTTGCTAACTTTAGTAACAGAAAAAAATTTTAATCGGTTTGAAGTGAGATCTTATAGGACTTTGACTAAAATACTAAAATATCTATAAATTTGCATCTTCAGCTTCGATGAATTGTTATGGTAATATTGTTACCTTACTATCTTTTAACCGACAAATCGTTTATGAAATAGAAACTATTGTATCTGCTGAAGCTGTTAAAAACATATTTGGTGTTGTTTTGAGATAGGATGCTATGTATATAGTAATTCTACCATATCAACTAAATAAATATAGAACAGTTATATAATAAATATAGGAATATATAATATAAATAAATTCCTAAATATAGGAATACAGCATTACAGAAATACACCAATACTTACTTACAGTATATGCAAATAGTATGTGTAGTACGATATTAGTGATACTATACTATGAACTCGAAAAGATATATCGCAGTTATACTTATAATTCAACTCATAATATTACTAGTCTTCAATAGAAAATTGCTTAAAATTGTATTTTAATCAAGGCAAAATGATTTGCTAACTATATCATAATTGAAGTCGTGAATGGTGGAATCAAACTGTTGTACTATTTATTATTAACTAGCTGTTAATATTGAATGCTAATGTTATTTTTTAAAGCGTCAGCAAGATGAAAGTACCTAGCCGCCTAACTCAGTTGTTAACAGCTCTTCATTTACAATATTTGCATGCAATAGGGCTACAGAGCTTGAGTCTAATACGGTATATCTTCAAATTGCAGCAGATTAATTTTATTACAGAAGTATAAAAGGGTCATTATCATGACAACATATAGAGTAACCACTAACCACCCTATAACTCCTCTACTGGTTAATTAAGGTGATCACTCTTTCATCTGCATTAGAGATTATACGCTTATGAAAGAACCGTAATATCCAATTATATTCACGAATTTAAGATTAAATGCTCGCAGAGTTTGACTTAAGTCTTTGATCAATTTCACAAAGATTTTTCGTGCACATGAGCGTTTTAACATCACAATAAATCGAGTATCTGATAGCTATAAAAACAACATTAGTAAATGAAAATAAGTGATGGCCAAGAACGGAATGATAACAGATGTAATAATAAGTATACTAGCCTGAATCGCAATAAGTCTTGCACTAACTAGCGATAATACTTTACCACTGTGAATAAAAACGACATCCCAAAGATTCATATTAAGATACTACGCAAATATAATAACTATTGTATAGTGGTTTAAAATAAGTTACAATAACAAACTGCACATCCTAATTCCTAGCTTGGAAATTACATTTCTCAGCCAACCAAAGCATGAATAGATCTGCTGTCTCTCTGTATGAAGCAGGATTGCATGACTAAAACTCTTATCATGGCAATCTTCGTTTTAATGCTAAAAAAATTTTTATAATACAGGATTCTAATTATTTTTCTCAGGAAATTAATTTGATTCGCTTCTTAACATAATATCAATAGCTAGAGTAGTGGGAGAAGAATATGCGTATGTAGTAATCTTAACAATTATTTATCACTAATGGAGATATTGTTAGGTGCTATGATTGATGCTAGGCTACGTAAGGCACTGCAGATGGTAGTATCAGTTATATTTACAGGGTAGGATTGATATTCTACTTTGAGTCATGATGCAATCTATGTATCAATCAAAAAATAGCGTGGCAAATATTTTATTGTAGTAGACGCTACTTCTATTACTAAATATAATTGCTTTAAACAAGTAAAATGCCACACCTATTTCGATAGGCTATATAGTATATCTGTTTGTACGTATAATATGCCATATACTCATGCAGTATGTAATGTATCCCATCGGATAAAAGTTATCAAGCACCATGAATTCGTGATAGAATTCTTTCCCTTTCATCTCAAATAGAATTTAAAATATCTACGTAAGTTGTTGACAACTAACAATAGGGGTAAATTATTATTGTTCATGTGATACGGAATAAAGCTGAGGTCATTTTAACTTTTTAACAGCTACACTACACTTTATACTGGATAGAGCTATAAAAAATCGAGCATTGAGAATTGTTGATACATAATCGTAAGCAATTCCATTGTTATCCAATCGAAATGATTAAATCGCTATACTAATTATTAGTATTATTTAATTTTCTTTTGTAGGTTTCTTAGCAACCAAAATATTGCATTGATTTATCAGTAGATTGAAACAAATAATTTAATTGACGAAACGACTGTAGAAATGATCTAAATTCATGAAAGCATCGATTCTAGCTGCTGTTATTTTGTTTGTTATTTAAGCGGGTAAAAGAACGTGAACAGAGCCTTTGACCACCTACGGGACGAAGTCGACGATTTTATCGCTTCTGAAAAATAGAAACTATATCGCTGTCAACTGGCATAATCATATTAACGATTCTTGCTATTGATCAAATTGGAACTTTATCTTAAATTTTAAAATATCGGTAAATTCAACATCAAAATATCGGTTCATCGTTTCTACATTTATTTTTACTTTAAATCCAATTTAAGAAAGTGATCGTCTTGCAGCAAACAGCATTAGAATGAATCGCAAGATATCGCTATATTGGAATATAGCGGTGGCATTAGCCATATTGGTCTGTAATTTCAACGATGTACAAGGAGGTATGAATATAATCGTTGAATTTAATCTTTTCTAACCACATTTTAATGCATGATATAATCTGTTATAAAATATTTTTGGATTACTTGAACTCTTTTCTGTTCGCTTAAACAACTAACTCGTCATATTTTAATTAAACTTTAACGAATCCTCATTCGACACGATAACTATGCTTAAGACAGCTTTCTATTCTTCGCTATACCATAAAATACAGTTGCATCTAGGATTTCAATTTGACGTTTAAGATTTTAAGATTACCCCATTATGAATTTTCTTAGATTGATGATCATAAGTTTCTATATTTTACTATTATCATTTAAAGAGATTTACTTGTAGAGATTAATTTGAAAGTCGAGAACTTCCTCACAATTTTCATTGCTTCATATACAATATTTATTTCAAATTACGCCATTACGCAGCAGGAGTAAAAACTATAAAAAATAAAACGTGCTAGTCAATTGGCACTATTCTCTGTTTGTTATTTTCATTAAGAGAAAAAGCAGTAGTAAAGTGTAGCAAATAAATAAAGACACGATCAGCTTTTATTCTCAAAAGAACTCGGCTCTTAAAGTCGACTACTTCTTGCTAAGTATAATTTCGAAAATAACACTCCTATTTCGCTTCAGGCTAAAATATTTGTCTAATAAGATTTTTAAAGCCTATTGTCTACTCTGTCCCGAATATATTAACTCAGCAAACAGAATATATAATTTGGAATGCAAATACTGTAAGTCATCTCATCCTTGGTAAAATCAGTTACCGGAAAAAAAAAACAGTAAAAAATCACCTTTAAATTGTTTATATGCATTAAATGACGGCAGTATAGATTAAAAATTAATTTATACTGAAATGTTTGAAGCAGCTGCTTATCTATATACAAGCTTCTAACGTATTACTTCACACATAGATACGAGTATGTTTTACCCACATTTTCATGTGGAGCAAATAAGTAACTGGATTCTTAAAAGACTCTTATGATCAGTAAGAAAAGATAAAGTTCCCCAAATCACATTTAAGTAAATTTAACCTATAAGCAAATTAATTCTCTTTTCAGAATATACTGTTGTTTATGACATTAGACATACAGTATATATATAATATTGCAAGGATAGTCGGTGATAGGATACAAGTATTTTGGCCATTGCCATATCAATTATATCGGTATAGTGCTGACTGAGAATGTTTGAGAGAAAAATTAGTATTAAATTTCCTTGACCAATGCCTCCATGAATACTATATTACTACTTTAATCTAATTTAACCTTGAAACTTATTTTGGGATAACAGTTTTGTAAATATTCAACGTTATGTCTAAGCTTATAGCTTAAGCACCTGGGAGTAAATTATATTTCCGTAAATCCGTTAATTTAATCCCTTTTAACGAAACCTATATTCCAATAATTTTTTTAACTATCAGCGAAGATCAGGCTATTAGCGGTTCGATATATGCATGGCCCTACATATTATGTCTATCTCTTAGAATAATTTAAAATACGTATCTACTATTATGCCTTCTTAAAATTGAATATTTTAAGGTTTATTTCAATTTGAATTCAATATTAATTTAATCATATTGTAACCATAGTTATGGGTCTGTATTGAAATTATGAAGAGGGTAATCTTGCACGATATTGAATTCAGTAACAATAACAACTTCAATAATGCTGGAATACGATTTAACCTATTCGTTAAGAATTACCGTAAAATTGAGATATAAATATTAATTCTACAATCTATAAATTCTTATTAATTTACTATCATAATTTACCTCCACAAAACTTTAGCAAGATACGGTACTGTTGTATGACGTAAATCATCGTATCACTCAATTTAATACGCATTACTTTCTAGTAAAAATTGAAGCGTCGCCGTCAGAGCTATTGTAAAATAAATTAAGAACTTTCATAATAAAATAAAAGTTCCGGTCTTGAATTATTATACTGATATTTACCGATTAAATTATAACGTCTTTAAGGTTGTGATACCTTAACCGTTAATATATACAGACAGCAAACATCCCTCTTTAGATGCTATAAAATTCTCAATTGATTTTACTCACACGACTAAATGAATTACCTAACTAAAAGTACTC